GTTGCCCGTCCCTATCTACGCTGTATACAGAAGGGACAGCATTGATAATTGATGTGAAGACACCTTCCCTCTCTGCTGGAATTTACTACATCTGTTGGAAGTTACTACATCCATGAGTATAGGTCAAGTTCATCAAATTGTAGCAATTTACCCTTGTTTCCTTTATTGTTATTATTATTATTTTTAATCTTCCTCTAGTGGAGTTCTGATTATCAAGTCATCAAGGCTAGGTCAAATGGGTACTATTTGCAAGTTTGGGTGTTTTTGTGTCCACAAACTTTTGATGTCCCCTCATATAATTTTGTGTAATTACAGCTATCCACTGCTTAACTGTCTGACTGCATACACGCCCGAGGTCAAGTTTTATTTGTTTGTTTGTTTTCTCTTTCTTTTTGCTTACTATTTCCCCCTAATGGTTTTAAGAACTCTAAACCCACATTCTTGCAGCATTGGACCCCAGACAGGACACAAGCCGGTGAGGCAGAGGACAGGGATTGGGTGGCACTCTTAAGTCGCTGACTGGGAGGTGAGCAGGCAGAGCAGCAGCTCAGGCTGGTCACTTCTTCCCAGTTTGCTTACTCTAGCTCTTCTCCAACTGCTAGCCTTTTGTCTGCCACCACTGCTGGCAGCAGCAGCTGCAGGATGACAAGAAGCAGTCCAGAAGGTTTTAATGTGGTGTTTGAACAGTGTCTACATCACATGGCACCCTATGTCACAGAACATATTGTAGACATTGGAGTCCTGCTATGGCGCTGTGGGTTACTGCACTGGTCTGCAAAGTCAGTTAGAACCAGAAGGTCAGCCATTCAAGCTCACCAGCTGCTCCTGGGAAACCCTATACAGGGTCACTATGGGTTGGAACCAACTTAAAGGCACTTATCAACAACAATCATGGACATTAAGCAACACATACCTATATAAAAAGATACATCCTTATGGAAAATTTTAAACAGAAACCTCATAACCCACTTCCTTCCTCAATGGAATCACTACAGTAGGTTGACTAATGGTCTCCCCACAAATGATATTCAACTCTTAATGCCTGTAAACGTTTTTGCATTTGAAAAACAGGGCTTTGCCGATGTGATTAATTTAAGGCTCCTGAGATGGAAGATTAGCCAGAATTATCCCAGAGAGTACGAAATGCGATCACAAGTGTGCTTATTTGGTGAGGACAGAGGGAACTTTGATTCACATAGTAGAGGAAGATGCACTGTGACTTGCAAGCAGAAATCAAGGTGGTGGAACCACAAGGCAAGGAATGCCAGCAGCCACCATAAGCTGGAAGAAGCAAAGGATGGTTTATTAACTTTGAAGAAACTGTTTTGTTAAAAACAAAGTATGAACAACAGTAAGCTAGCTGAGAAAGATCTGCAACTTTCAAAGAGTGAATATTCTCCTTCAGTGTGCATATTTAACATGTGGCCAAGGAAGCTAACAGAAAAAGAACCTCCCGGAAAGTTTTTGGTGGTGGTGGTGGTGTGCTGTGGGGTCAGTTCCAACTCATAACAACCCATAACTCTTTACAGGAGCAGAAAGCCTCATTTTTCTCCTGCAGAACTGGTAGTTTCGAACTGCTGACCTTGCAGTTAGCAGCCCAATTCGTAACCACTATGCTACCAGAGCTCCTTAGAAAGTTCTTAGTGGGCCATAAATGATAATTGGTCAGGAATTGAAAAGAATGATGGATGAAGGAATTCCTCCCTGATAACTGAATTTTCCTATCTCTATGTCTGGTTGCTTCTATTGCATCTGCTGGGGTAAATTTCAGGATTATTATAGATCAGCAATTGCTATTTATCTCCCAGTCTCCCTCTTTTCTACTAAGAATGTTTATTATGGCCCTCCTGTACTTTTTCGATGGTGCCCAAGTGGTGTAGTGGGTTAAGTATTGGGTTGTGAACTGAAAGATCGGTATTTCAAACCCACCAGTCACCACTCAGAAAAAGTTGAGGCTCTCTGCTCCCATATTTACTCTCTGACATCCTATGGAGCAATTTTACTCCGTCCTATAAGGTTGCTATGAGACAGAATCGATTCCACAGCAGTGAGCTTCATTTTGTTGTTGTTGTTGTTGTTTAGGGTACTTGCTCCACCGCTATATATTGTGGTGACTAAGTGAAAGTGAGACAGAGAGAACAGATGTTTACTTGGGTGAGTGTAGGACAGAAACATCCCAAGTCTCTGGACTAAGAGGAGCCACATTTGGACCTGATGGAGACTGCTGCTACTGCTGCTGCATGTCATCAGTTTGGTTCCGACTCACAGCGACCCTGTATTGTGTTTCTGTGGCTGTAAATCATTACAGGTGCAGAAGCCTCATCTTCCTCCCGCAGAGAGGCTTTTCAATTTGAACTACTAACCTTGCAGTCAGCAGTCCAATGTATAACTCACTAAGCTACCAGGGCTCCTCGATGGAGAGACTAGTGGGCATGGAAAACACAGTACATAAGACTATAGCTTCTACCATTACTTAATGACCCAATATGGTAGAAAGATAACACACTGCCATGAACATCTTTCCATGATAGCATGTTCCCTTAGAGTTCGGAAATTATGTACATCTTGAATCAGCGTTGTGGGAGAAAGATGAGGTTGTCAGTTTCCGCAAAGGTTACAAGTTCGGTAACTCAAATGAGTAAATCTACTCTGGCCTATAAGGATTGCTGTAATAACAATCAGCTCAATGTGAGTAAGGTTTATTAGGTAGGAAAGTTAATATTAAAATAAATTGCTAGCAACAAAACAGAGGCTCTGGAAAGCAGACACTGCACATGTCTAACTTAATAATCGTAAATTGTTACTTGTCACTGACACAGCTTTGACTCACACCAACCACAACCCAAGTAGAAAAGAATGTTGCCAGGTGCCATCCCTGTGACTGTTAGTAAATTTAAGCCCACTGTTACCACATGGTGTAACTGAGGAAGGCTTTCCCAGCCTTTGCTGGCCCTTTATGTTTATCATTTTGGTCTCTTCTAAATGATGTGTCTAAAATAAGAAAGTCAAAGGCTCAATTATTTCACAATCCATAGGATTTTCTGAAGTAGATCGCCATGCCTTTCTTCTTGTCTTAGTCTGACAACTCTGCTGAAACCTAATCACCATGGTTGAATGTGCTGGCATTTGAAAAAGTAGTTAGCAAGCTACTAGCATCACAGCAATATGCAAGTCACCAGGTATGACAAATTGACAGACAGATGGTGGGAAGCATAAATAGGAGGTGTCTTTTCATCTTGTTACCATGATTGTATTCTTTGCATTAGTAGCATCACATAAGGTGATCTAGGTGGTCCCTGATTCAAATTTTCTTGTGTACTCAGAAATAGAAATTGTCACTCAAATAGCAATGCAATTACAGGTAGAAAAAAGTACCAAACTGAGGCAAGATCACAGGAATTTCAAGGATAAGAGAGACTTATGAAGGACAAGCACTCAGACATAATCAAATGATGATTAAATAACTTTTGAGGTCTACAAAAATCCTCTATCTAAATATGAAATTAGCATCTAGAATAACAAGTAACCAAAGTTTGTTCCAAGACTTGTTGTTAGGTGCTGTGGAGTCGATTCCGACTCATGGCAACCCTGTACAGGGTTTCCGAGGCTGTAAATCTTTATGCAAGCAGAAAGCCTCTTTCTCCCACGGAACAGCTGGTAGTTTGGAACTGTTGACCTTAAGGTTCACAGCTCGATTTGTAACCACACCTACCAGAGCTGCTTTGTTCCAAGACTATGTCTAGGTAAACTAACAAGGACTAGACTTAAAAACAACCAAAAAATGGAGTATAGACTGAAATCCAGCTACCATATGAAAACTCGCAGCAGCCATTTTTTATTTGCTTTGAGTGGCAAATAATATTGTCAATACTCAGGCATAGAAAGAATGTGCTTCTTCCACCAAAAGCCATGATCTAATTTCTTGCAAAAGTAGCCAATCAGAGGAACATAATGCTATCTCTTTAACATAAATCAAATTCTTCCACTGCCTTTGAGAACCAACTAGACTGTTTTTACAGTGGTGGGTCAACTTATTCAAGGAAACAACCCTGGTTTCAGCAACTACAAATACTGGTGCCTTAGGAAAAAACACTCATTCCAATTACAATATCCCATCTTTCCTTCCTTCTGGAAGAAAATGGGTTAACAAATTTTTAATCTTCATAAATAATCCATAAAGGCCTGACAATGTTCATGATCCCGAGAATTCAAATCCATTTTTCAATGCTGAAGTGATACGATTTTTCGCGTGTGACAGATTAGATTTCTCAGTAAATTTCTGAATGACATCAGGACGAAGATGAATCCTTCAAAGTCATATTAAGATAGGAGGCAGAAATACATTAAACTTGTTCCTTTAGATAATGTCTTTGAACTGGAGAGGGCTGAGGAAGGGGGTTAAATCAAGTTACCTGAGTCATTCTTTGCTTCACAAGCTCTTTTTGAATTTAAAATACACAATGTTCCTTTTCTTCCCTAAGTCCTCTTTCATGAAGACTCTCAACCAGAGACAGTAACTTCACTTTACAATGGACTGGAAATAGGGATTCCCAGGATTTCTTCAACGTATACACAGATCGGGGTGCACGAATTTTAGCTCTTTTTCTGGGGCTCGTTTCCTTCGGAAGCACCTTTCGCTCTCCTTGTCTCCCAAACATCGCTGACCTGTGGGCCGGGGCTGGGGTGGCGGGGAGACAGTCTGCGCCAGGCCGCCAGCGAGGCTACTCTCCCCAGCCTAACTGCACCTCCGAGGCCGCGAAGCCTGAGGCTCTTCCCGCAGTGCCGGGCGCGGCCGACGATCCTTTCCCCTGGGCAGGGCTCAGCTCAGGTCAACGCTTCCAGTCAACACAGGCCCGGCCCGGGCCGGCTCAGCCCGCCAGTCCGCAGCAGCCCCTGGACCCCCGCCAGCGGGGATGGGCGTGGGCCCCAGCGGCCACCGCCTGCCAACTCGGGCTCGCGAGGAAAGTGGGCCCCACCCGCTACGCCCGCCGCAGACCTACCTGCAAGGGAGAGCGGGTCTCCAGGACGGCGGCACGGGCCCAAGACGGGAGCCGAAGCGGCCAGAGGCCGTCCCAAGGACCCCAAGTCTCCCTGGTGGGGCTGGACGGGAAGAGGCTCCGGGGGGCTGCCGCGAGCCAGCGCAGCCCGTCGCAGGGGTCGCGAGGACCTGGCTTTCCCCTTAGCACCAGGGCACTACCACTGCCGCCGCCATTTTGCCTTCCACTCCGCGTCGCCGCCGCAGCGCTCCGCGGCCGGTTTCCCGGATGTGGGCATTTCCCGGCGTCGCTTGCGCGGGGGCCGAGGACTGGGGGCTTCTGCTCGCCCGGCGGCCTCAAGGGACGCCCCGCCTGCCGCCTGCCACCTCCCGCCAGCTCCTCCCGGCGGTGGTGAGCGGCGTAGTTTGCGCTCCTAGCTACCCGCATGTCACTCGCGGCGTTGGTGGGGTCAGGCTCTTCCCCGCCCAAGCCCACTGTGCTCTTTCCTGGGACGGATATGGAATAAGATACACGTCTGCAGGAGCTTATCAGAAGCGACCCGCAGCTCGCGGTGGACGTCACATAAGAGGTTTCTAAAGGGTCTGAAGTAAAATCTGATGATAGATAAGCACTTTTTTCACGAGTAAATCAATCTTTGTCCTTCAAGTACATGGGTATTTTCTGGATAAGCCGAACGAGACCGAGGATGCTTCAGAAAATTGTGGGAAAATGGAGTGAAAAGATAATGGGATTTCCCCACGAACTTCAAAGCCCCTTTATATTCCTAGAACCGGGACATATTGATGAACAGGTTTTAGAGCTCTTTTATCTGCTAGCCGTTATCAGCACAGGAAGTCAGAATTGCTCTAATTGAAATAACAGTGATAGGGATTGTTGTTGTTAAGTACCCTGGAGTCGGATTCGACTCATAGTAACCCTGCACAGGGTTTCCGAGGCTGTAAATCTTTACAGAAGCAGAATGCTTCATCTTTCTCCCGCGGAACCGCTGGTAATTTGGAACTGCCGAACTTGAGGTTAGCAGTCCGATTCGTAACCACTACGCTACTAGAGCCCCTTAGTGATAGTGATGTTGTTGTTGTTAAGTGCCGCCGAGTCGGTTCCGACCCATAGCGACCCTGTACAGGGTTTCCGAGGGTGTAAATCTTTACGGAGTAGAAAGCCTCATCTTTCTCCCGCGGAGCAGCTGGTAGTTTCGAACTGCTGACCTTAAGGTTCGCAGCCCTATTCGTAACCACCTCGCTACCAGAGCTCCTTTTAGTGATAGTGATAGGGAGGTTTATTTACCTTTAAATTGAATAGGAAGTTTGGGATACTATCCCAATTTGTGATATTAGAAGGTGCCTTCCATCCGTTGCAAAGAGGCACTTTGCCAATTCTTCATGTAGAAAAGAAATACTTGGCATTTTCATGCTTCACCTTTCATCTTTCTCCTTAGCCTTAAACCTTAATCCACTGCCACTGAGTGGTTTTCAACCTATGGTAACCTTGTATAGCATTTCTGTAACCTGAGCAGAAAGCCTGATCTTTCTGCCCTATAGTATCTAGTGAGTTTGCGCTATCAACCTTGTGGCTTTAGCAGTCCAGTGCTTATCCACCATGGCTCCTTCCCCTGTCCACTTGAGGCTAAATTTAAAAGAAAAAAAAAAATTTTTTTTCATCAACATCTTTTTCTGATTTTACAGGAATCCAAAAGTTCAAATATGGAAACGTTTGTTGAAAGAAAAAACTATGTTCCTAGAGCCCTTCTATACTGTCAAGTTCCATGAGTGTAGGAAAGGCTGTTCTGTAGACTGCTATATTCTTAACCTCAGGTCCTGCCAGGAGTTCTGGTGTAGCACCATAGGATAAGCACTTTACCTCAAGGTGGGTTTGAACTCATTGGACACCAACTCAATGACACTTAACAACAATTGTTATTGCCTGGTATATTGTTGATTTTCAGTATTCTGGTATTCTTGACTTTCAGCCAAGATCCATTTGATGTCAGTAATGGTATCCCTTGTCACACATCCTCTTCCGAATCCAGCGTGAACCTCCCTCCATAAGTTCTCTGTCAGTGTATGATTGCAGCTACTTTTTAAATATCTTTTGTAAAATTTTACTTGCATGTGATATTAATGATATTGTCCGATGATTTCCACATTCCGTTCGGTCACCTCTCTATGGAATGGACACAAATATGGATCTCTTCCAGTCAGTTGGCCAGAATGTTGTCTTCCAAATTTCTTGGCATAGATGAGTGAGTGCCTCCTGTGCCGCCTTACTTTCTTGAAAGATTTCAATTTTTCTTCCATCAAATCCTGGTGCCTTGTTCTTTGTCAATTCCTTTAGTATACCTTGGACTTCTTCCTTCAATATTTTTGGCTTTTGATCATATGCTACCTTTTGAAATGGTTGAACATCAACCATTTCCTTTTGGTACAATGAATCTGTGTATTCCTTCAAGTGCCACATAAGTTTGCTGAAAGATTTCAATTTGTGTTCCATCAATTCCCAGTGCCTTGTTCTTTGCCAGTCCTCCAATGCACCTTGGACTTCATTGGCTCTTGATCATATGCTACCTCTTGGAATGCTTGAACATCAACCATTTTCTTTTTTTTTTTCCAACCTTTTTTTTTTGGCTCTATGACTCTGTGTATTCCTTCCAGTGTCTTCTCTTTTTTTTTTTAATATAAAACTATTTATTGACCACTGTTCACCAGAATTTACAATACAGTAAACAGTATACAATTGGATTAACAATACCACAAAGTTACTTTTCCTGGTTTCAGCTGAACCAGTAACCAAATACTGAGAAGACTGAACCTACATATAAGGAATGGATTGGGATAAAACAAAAATTAAAAACCCACGCAGGCCAGTAGTTTATAAGATTGTTCACCCATTTATGCCAACAGGTTGTAAATGGCAACATTTCTGACCATCTTATTGGATTCTTAACCAACAAGGTGTTAGACATTCCATGAATCATGACCTTTTACTAAAACACAGCGATTCCAACTCTATGTAAAGGAATGGCTCTCTAATGGATCAAAAGCCCACTTGCTCAACCTTGTTTGGCTTATTTAAACATATTATTTGTCCAGTTTTCTTACTTGGGTAGGGAAGTTTTTAGCAAAGGTTGTTGTTGTTGTTGTTAAGTGCCTTAGAGTAGGTTCCGACCCATAGCGACCCTGTACAGGGTTTCCGAGGGTGTAAATCTTTACAGGAGTAGAAAGCCTCATCTTTCTCCCGCAGAGCGGCTGGTAGTTTTGAACCATTGACCTTAAGGTTCACAGCCCAATTCGTAACCACTACGCTACCAGGTAAGATTTACCATTTAGGGAATTTTGCAAATAAACAGTTTCAATTATATGACTCTTTCGATATGGATTTTGATAATGATGTTTCAAGTTGTCCAATTAATTACTGGATCATTTATTTGATTTGAAAGCTTATGGCCTACAACTTTTTTTCAATTTTACTTGAGGAGATCTATTTCTTGAGTTGCTACGAATGATAACATCCTTGAAACAATACAAACTTACCCATGGTTGTGAATGCCAGCTTTGTATAGAAGAGTTTTGTTTTTGATGGATGTAAAATCAAATCAAATAAATTTACATATATACAAAAACAACCCAAAAGCCAGAATGGTCCTTAGGCATATATTTATGGGTTAAACCCAAGTTCTGATTCAGTAATTACTAGGTAAAGTATCCCAATATTTAGAAACGCTATTCTCTAATGCAGAGGAACTAATATACCATGGTATTGAATGTTTTTCTGATAATTGAAGCAACTACACAAAGCTTTTATTTATTTGTTCACAATAACCAGTGCTATTGATGCAACAAAAACAAACACCCCAGCAGCTCCCCCAATACTACTTCAAAACAAACATAGCAAACTTGATTTCCATTAGAATGTACTTATTCTTCATACTAATAAATCAAAAAACAAAAAACCAAGACCAAAATTATATATATATAAAGTGATACAAGCAATTATTGAGCTTCATCTTCTGGACAAGAATTCCAAGTTAATCTCTCTTCATAAAATGCAATACAATTTGAGGGCATTTCATGTTTGCCTCTTTTGCCAGCACCGAGTCTACCTCATCTGCATCTTTCCATTTCATGAGAAACATGAATTCTCCACTGATGTCTGTGGCACCAAGGATTCGCTCAGGATGAAGACCTCTGGCATAGCCCCTGGGTTTGTCAGCAGCATCCTTTTTCATTGTCAGATAAAGATGCTCCACGTTTCCATTAACTACCTGTCAGTCCAGCACTTTTCCTTCCACAGATTCTTCAGGTTCTGCTGCTTCAACTTTTTTTTTTTTTACTATTTCCATTGTTTCTTTCCCATTTTTTTTTTGCAGTGTAGTTTTATTGGAGGCCATTTTTATTGCAGAGCTGTTATTCACGGCCTCCAAGATCTGCAGCATCTCAGACCCTGCACACCGCCAGCTCAAGCCACATGTGAGGAGGAGGCTAGGAGGAGACTGGGGAGTGTGTGCTAGGCTGCCACCAGGCCTTCCATCCTCTTCTGATGCTTTCTGCATCATTCAATACTTTGCCCATTGTTGTTGTTGTTAGGTACCCTCGAGGCAATACCGACTCATAGCTACCCTATGCACAACAGAACAAAACACTGCCAGGTCCTGGGCCAACCTTACAATTATTGCCATGCTTGAGCCCATTCCATCTCACTGGGGGTCTTCCTCTTTTTCTCTGACCCTCCACCTTACCAAACATGATATCCTTCTCCAGAGACTGGACCCTCCTGACAATATGTCTAAATATGAAAGACAAAGTTTGGCCATCCTGGCCTCCAAGGAGCACTCTGGCTGCACTTCTTCAAACACAGATCTGTTGGTTCTTTTGGCAGCCCATGGCACTTTCAATATTCTCCTCCAACACCATAACTCAAAAGCATCATAGAATCCCTTCAGTATTGCAAGTTGAGCTTGACGTTTTTCTGCAGTTTTCTCAGAAAACTTTGTACATGTCGTTATTTGCTTTGGTCTTCTTGAACTGCATTTTGAAGTTTTCTGTTTAACTCTTTTACCTCCTCATTTCTTCCATTTGCTTTAGCATCTCTACTTTATTGGTAGCTTTCTAAATAGCAGACACTAAGCTAAACACTTTCCGACAGGGATTGAATGGGGAAACCCAGACATAAATTCAGGCAGTTTGACTCCAGTGCCTCCTAATGACTTCCCTGTACTGCTCCTCCACCTTCTAATTTGAGCTCTTCTCTCTGCTTGGTCCATGCTAATCATCTTTTCCTTATTGGCTGTGAACTATACTTCTGTACCAGAACCTGCTGCTAACCGACTTTGATGTTCTGGGTTTTTCCTGGATCTTCTTGCACAAGATAGGATACGTACTTGACTGCAAACTGCAAAGTCAGTGG